AACACTAACTGCGGTTACTGAAACCACGCCTTCTTTCTTTGCGTGCACATTTGGGCGCATTATGTAAATATTCCACATCGTGACGTAGATATGTGGGGGCGTGTTTAAACGAGGCGTTTTAGGAGGGCGTGGACGAGTCTTAACTTTTATAAAGAATATCTTTTTGGATTTGACACTTTAGTCTTTGCAACTTTAGGGATCTTATCAATTCACGAACAGCTTGTAACACTCCAAAGAGAAAGGAAAACTTGAAATCGCATCATATGACCCCTTTAATTTAATTAATTTAATCTAAATTAAAGATCCATATATTTTAAATCATAAAGATCAATTACACCAAGTATTAAACAAATTGGTTGCCTAACTCTGTTGTTCATAAACATGTCTTGAGGATATGAATAGCTGCACATTGATTTAGTTGGAGTTGGAGACAGAGGGGTTGTTGATCAGGGACGGAAGTCCAGTTCAGAGCTCAGCTAATTTTAGAGCGTGATGCTGTGGGATGGAGGGAGTGGAGAGATGAGTGCAAAAAAGAGCAAACAGCCCAGAGGGAATATCTTTTACTGCATGTCTTTGAAACACATGACATGTGCCCTGCAGATAATTTAGACTCCTCTTTTTATAAAAGGAAAATATTTTGACAGAAACATTTGTAGATTTCATGAAGATATATCACGAATAATATTAACATTTTCAATGTACTGCATGAATTTTCCATGCAATAACAAAAAATAGGAACTGAAGCTTTCAAGTTACAGAAAGGACACAAACTTATAAAAAAGTTTAACTTGTTCATTGAAATTATTAGATTTAAAGAAAAAAATCATTCATAAATATCAGTACAAATATCAGTACTTCTTTCATGAACTCTTATGCTAAGGAGTTACATTTTCAGTCAATAATCATTTAAATTTCAGGTAACACTTCACAATAAGGGCCCATTAGTTACTGATGTTAATGCATTAACTAATATGAACTAACAATGAGCAATACATTTGTTACATAATGTATTATTCTTTGTTAACGCTAGTTAACTGTTTATTGATGTTGTTAGCTGAGGTCCATCAAACAATATTACAGATACAACATTTGATTTTAATAATGTTTTAGTAAATGATGGAATGAACATTAACTAAGATTAATAAATGCCTTACAAGTATTTTTCATTGTTATTTCATGTTAGCTATGTAGTTTATTTTAACAAATGGAACCTTACTGTAAAGAGTTACCAAATTTCAACAGTTCCTCGCATAAAATAAAATAAAAAAAATTCAAATTAAAAAATATAATACACATTGCTAAATTATGATACATAAATAATACTTTAATTTATTTATTTTTCCTTTTTGCAGCTTAAAAGCTTCAATCCCAGAAATTCTTCAAAATGTTCATTTTGGGGCAGGTAATCTTATAGATAGTTGTTCACTGTTTGTCAAAAGTACTTTTTCAGATAAATCAGTATACGTGGAAAAACGTAATTATTCTGGCAAATATTTCCATTACTGCAGTGCAGTCAGAAATCCAAGGGAAAGGTCAAACATATTTTTATCACAGTCATATTTTAGATTTTTGAATAACAAAACCTCGAAAAGGCCACTGACCGCAATATTTTCATTTTCATTAATATTCAAAGTGAAGCTTTGCTAATTTCCACAGTGCCATTTGTGAGAGTAACCATGGGGTTACTGAGAAAAAAATCCAACATTTGTGTCTGTCATGCTTCAATCAGTGTTACCACTTCTGCTGCAAAAAAATCAGATAGGAGCCTTGAGAAATGTTATTAGGTTCATGTGCATAACAACATTTTAATGGCATAAAGACCAAATCACACTCCACAGAAATGCTCTGCACAACATTTTGTTCAGATTTCACGTGTTCGCAAACTACCACAACATAAAAGCACATCTAAAAACTAAAACTACACAGCAACAATATGCTTTTGTGTCTTGAGCTGGGATCTACTAACACTTCAGAAATGTAGTGCTTTAACATTAAGGCAAGTCTTTAAAAGAAATCTCAAAAAAGGCGGTGGACCTAATTAGAAAGAGGGTGAATATCAGTCATTTTTGCTCATGTGTGAGTTATTCCATTCTTGCTTAAAGGAATAGTTCACCCCAAAATGAAAATTAGCTGAAAATGTACTCACCCTCAGACTATACAAGATGCAGATGAGTTTGTTACTTCATCGTAACAGATTTGGTGAAATTTAGCATTACATCACTTGCTCACCAGTGGATCCTCTGCAGTGAATGGGTGCCGTCAGAATGAGAGTCCAAACAGCTGATAAAAACATCACAATAATCCACAAGTAATCCACTCGAGTCCAGTCCATTAACTAATGCCTTATAAAGTGAAAAGCTGCGTGTTTGTAATAAACAAATTCATCATTAAACCGTTAAGGTGTTTCCGACTAAAGTACGAGTCCTCTATCCATAATATTGCTTTCTCCAGTGAAAAAGTCAGCAATTTTGTATTGTTCAGTATTTTGGCCAATGGTGGTGGTTTAAAGTTAAAAAGACAATTTTGTTTCTTACAAACACCCAGCTTTTCACTTCACAAGATGTTAACTGATAGAGTGAAGTCGTGGGGATTACTTGAGGATTATTGTGATGTTTTTATCAGCTGTTTGGACTCTCATTCTGACGGCACCCATTCACTGCAGAGGATCTATTGGTGAGCAAGTGATGTAATGCTACATTTCTCCAAATCTGTTCTGATGAAGAAACAAACTCATCTACAGCTTGGAGGGTAAGTTATCAGCAAATTTTAATTTTTTTGGTAAACTATTCTTTTAATGTAAAGAAACACAGCTCAAAAAGGATGAGCACAAGCCATGATCAATTACAATCAGACTGGCTGTTTTTGTATATATTCTCTATAAAGCCAACTAGTTTAATTATTTAGGAAGAGATTAATAAAAACAATAATTTGTGGGAGAAATATAGCATGCACAAGCACCATCACATAAACACAACTGATAAAACTCAAGAACACAACCACAATTTTCATTTGTGAGGTATATGTAGGCCAGAAAAATTTTAAATCATTGAATATCTTTGACATCAAAGTGTCTATTCTCCATGAAATACAAAAAGAAAAACAAACACTGACAAGCCTTCTGGTCCTCAGTGCAGATATGCAACAAAAGGCACTAAGAAGTATTTTATTTATTTGTTTGTTTGTTGTTGTTGGTTACTAGTTTGAAATGATACAAATGATGCTTGACTTTGACCATAACATCAGAACATTTACTGGTGATTTGCTGGGATAGTTCATCCAAGACAAAAGCATTTGTGCCATTGTTTACTCACCCCCGGTCCACTGTATAGAAAAAAGCAGCATGAACAATCTGCGAAATATCTCCATTTCTGTTCCATAGAAGAAAGAAAGTCTTACGGATCTGGAATGACATGAGGGTGAGTAAATGATGACAGAATTTCAATTTTAAGGTGAACTCTTTCTTTAAGGAGGATGCACAATACTGTAGGGGCTACATTACAAATGTGACCCTGGAGCACAAAACCAGTCTTAAGTTGCACGATTTGTAAGAAAAATAACCATATTTAAAACGTAATAATCACTTGAATCTAGCTTGCGCTCACTGTTGTAAACTAAGCAGTTCCGGGGGAATGACGTACGAGTTCGACTTTGCGCGTGCGCTGCTCAGAAGTGACGCACGCGGAAACGCAGCGGAGAGATCAAAACAAAACAATGGTCACTAATTAGA